GAGGGATGTTGCTCAATGGCAGAATAAGTATCTAGAATATGTGAGGCCCTGGTTTTGATCCATAGCACAGCAATTAAATTGGGACTAACTAGATCAGAGGCCTACAGAACTTGTACTTTCTACTTAGAAAATAAATATTATTAGATACTTCTGAGAAAAACAACAATATATTATCCATCCATTTATCTGCTATCATTATGTGAAAATCTTCAAAAGCTAAGGGAATTATAAATCAGGTAAACATAAGGACTCTATTTGAACAATTTTACCCATAATCAAGAGTAGCACAGAGAAACTTAAGAAGGCATTCAAGGGAAAAGTGTTAGAATCAAAGTAGATTCCCTCTCTAAAACTGGGCAAAATTAGTAAGAAGATAGCTGGTAATTATTTTGCCATCAATTTGTTTATCCCTTCCCTATGGCATGTCTCACATTGTGCTACAGAAGCTGTCTATAGATGCATCCTCCCATCTGACTCAAGGTGAGGAGCTGTGTCTCATTCTTTCTGTCCCACATTCCTTGGTACCTTATACATAGTAGCAATTGAAAAAAGGCTAAATGATATAAAGCCATATATGCATTAACTCCAGGTAATCAATTAGGCCCCAACTCATGAAAAAGCATTCATAACTTCTTTTTAGCTAATAAACACTGAGTAATCTGATACGTGGGTATTCGTTTTTGCAAAATTTATGTTAAGTGAATTTTAAATTCTGAACAACATACCTATGTTTTAAATGTATATTTAAATATGGTAGTAAGATTTTGCTTGTTTATTTTTGAGACAGTGTATTGCTATATTGCCCAGACTGACTGCTAACTCCAGATTGATTGAGTCTCCTTCCTCAACCTCCTGAGAAGCTGAGACTATAGGCCCTATGGCATGGAACCTGGCTCTATTCCTTGATCCTAGGGATTGAACCCAGGACCTTGTGCATGCTAAGCACGCAGTCTACTACTAAGAAACATCCTCAGCCAGAGACATTTAAAAAAAAAAAAAATACAGAAAATGACTGGTTTCACTATGTAAAACACAAAACTAGATTTTGTTGGTATACTGAACATGAGGTGATTGGGTGCTGATGTCTGTAAAATGTTTGCTAACATGGCAAGAATATTAAAAAAAAGAATTTAAAACAGGCCTTGAAATTCTCCCTTGAAAAAGTTGTAATAGGCAAGCAGGAAACTTGATGTAAAATTCAGACAGGATCTGAGAAAGTAGAGTCTGTTCTCACCCCTATGGAAAAATTACTTCTAGCCTAGTCTGCATGATATTGCTGGAAACTGGAATATAGAATTGGCTCAGTCAATGAACTCACTGCATTACCCAAAGGAAATGAAGAAACTACCAAGTAGAGTGGGCCCTTTCTGGAATACCAACTGTTCCAGTTCCATCAACTCTCTGAAGCTCTAGAGCAGAGGGATGCAAACTCAGGCGCAGGGACCAGCATGGCCACCAGCAGTTTTTTTATTCCCCACTAAAATTATTTTTACATTTTTAAATTGGGGGAGGGTCAAAGGAAGAATCATATTACATGACATATGAAAATAGGAAATTCAAATGCCAGTGTCCATATGTAAGGTTTTAACTGGAATACAGCCATGCTTATTTCATAACTCAATGTGGATGGCTGCTTTCAAATGACAATTATAAAACTGATACCTCACAGCTCACTGATCCTACAATGTTTACTATCTGCCCCTTAACAGAAAAAGTATGCTGACTCCTGGGCTGGAGCATTTCTGCTCCTAGTTGCATCTCTTTTCTCAAAGGCAGTCCACTGCTTCACAAGGTTGAGCCTCTAAGCTTGACAGGTGTCCATCTTGGGGCTGTGTTGTTCAAAGTTACAACATTAATATAATCATACAATACAGTACAATTCAATAGAGTGGGCAGAAAGACAAAGTAACAAGTTACTTGTACTAAGAGGCCCTGAAAATAAGGAGTATTCAAGTCCATTACAGGCAGCACGGACCTTTTACCAGACTACCACATCCAGTTCTGGGTCACACTTGGGATGGTGGTGGGGAACTACAGACAACTTAGAGGTGGACAGATGATTAAAAGGGCTCAAAAATCAGACAACTAAAGAAATGCTAAGAGAAACGGAATTAACTGACCCAAAGAGAAAGGAGAAAGCACTGGTGTCAACACTTACAGAGTTGTATTGCTGATAGATCAAATTCCTACTGATAAAAATAATGGCAGCCTGAACTAATATAATACAAAACATATATATATATATATATATATATACACACACACAGACACATATATATACATACATATATTTTTTTTAATTAAATGTGATTTATGAGACCACCACTCCTGCCTCAGGCCATAAACCTTCCAAGATAATCAGTTGTTAAATATTGTACTCTAAGTATTCAACAGATGTATTTAGGAATGTTTCTTTTTCAGACACCTGCCATTGATATGTTACCAGGAAAGGTATGCTATTATTGTGCTAAGGTTCAGTAATAATAACCTAAATTTTATAGCCACACCTTTCCACAGAACCAAATAGAGGAAAATAGGCTTAAATTACAGAATGTATGTTATACTGAAGAATGTTCCAACTAGGGGATTTTAATTACTCTAATAGAACACTGAGAGTAAGGGAATTTTCTTCCAAGGCCACTTGTTCAGTTAGAATACTCTAGAACTATCTGGATGATTCCTTAAGGCAAGGAGCATGAGTCTCAAACACACTTCTTCCACAGCCATAATTCTGCAATGTTAATTTTCCCAGTTCCTATTAAGTGAGAGCTGGCAGCCACTGCTCACTTTCATTTTCACACACATACAACTACATTCTAAGATAAACTTTAACATCACAAACTCCAACTTGAGTATAACCTGAATTACAACTTTTTTAATTACAGAGATATGGAATATAATTCCATTAAGAAGATAAATTTGGAAAATAGGTCTAACTTCCAAATATTTCAATGTCCCGTTCAATGAGACTAAACTAATATCCTATTATTTCAAAATGTCCAAAACTTGAACACAGTTAGTACTCAATAAATGCTCCATGAAAAAAACAGTTTTGTAACTCTGAAAATACAGAATCCTTGAACACAAAATGTCCTTTGAATCAAGCTTAATGCTGCAATTAGTAATGCAAATTCTGAAATTTGACCTAAATACTGTAATGTTAATCAATCTGAGTTTTTCAACCTTGAGTTCTGAAATCTGTTTTTCCCTAAGAATGCACTCCTTTCGATGGGAAGCACACACTAATCTGACTCACTAAACTTTCTCCACTCCTACATCACCTATACAGGATTTTAAAATCTTAAAGTATATAATACTTTCAAGTCACTCCTACAATCTTGCGTTAACCTTAGCTGGACAAACTTTTCGCCAAGTCTGTTAATACTTTTTATTTAAAAACCTGTAGTAGTGAAACAAAGAAAACTCTGCCTCCCTCCCCCTTTACTAAACCATATGGCAGTAAACTGAAGTTAACTTATTTTTCACCAGTTCCATGCCAAATACATCGGCCCTAAACATTTGTCTCTTTGTACCCTGGGACAGGGCTGGAGTAGTCTTGCTTATTCGAAACTGTACCCCACGCGTGTTTTCAAATCGTAAAACAAAGTCCAAACGCCTCTGACCATTAACAGACCACAAGATGGTCATCCACTAAGCCTGACTAGTCAGGCAGCGCACACCGGTGAGGGCCCTGGGAGTCCAGCTTCGGCAGGGTGACCAAGCTGGGAGTTTGCTCGCCGCGGCCGGGCCAGATCCGCCCAGGGAACTTGGTTACCCAAGCTCAGGGACGCGCCGAGGCCTAGCCGCGAGGCCGGGCGGGCTCCAGGAGGCGAAGACTTCCGTGCCGGGTCACAGAGCCTTCCCGCCCACCCCACGGTCGCCCGCAGACGGGGGCACTCACGGTCGTCTCTCGGCGACCGGACGCCCCCGCCGGTCTCAGGCCAGCTCCCCTGGCCCCTGCCGCCGCCCGTGGCCCAGCTCTGCGACCGCACCGGGCCCTTCCGGGGCGGCGGGAGCTAGGCCGCGATGGGGCCCGCGGCTCCGGGACCCGCCGGGCCTCGGCGTCCAGTACCAGTTCCGAGGGCTGGGCTCCCGCCGGTAACGGGCCCCGCTGCCTTCCCTCCCCCTCCCCCGCCCCATGACAGTGCAAACCCTCCGGCCGCCCCAGCCGCCCCGCCTCCGGCACCAGGCCCAGCTCAGGGCCGCGGCCGCAACCGTGGCGGCAGCGGCGCCGCGGCTCTCCGCCCTCGCTCGCTCGCAGCCGGGCTCTGCCCCTAGAGCCTGGTTCAGGGTCCGCCAAAGTCTCCGCCGCTCTCCGGCCGTCCTCCGCGGCGCCCGGCCCGGGAGGGGTAGGCCGAGGCCCGGGCGGTGGGGGTGGGGGCGGGAGCTCTTCTCACCTTCATGTCGGGACATCCTAGTTCAGACGGTGGCGGCGCGGCCCCTCCCGGGCTCCGGCTGCAGTGTCCCCTGCGGGGTCCCGGCGCTGCCCGCGCCGGCCGGCCGACTCCCACTCGACTCCCGGGCTCGGCCGCGGGGGCGGGGTGGGCAGGGGAGCGCTCCCGCGGCGGCGGCGGCGGCGGCGGCGGGGAGGCGGCGCGGGGCGGGATTGGGGCCGGGCCTGGCCGGGGCTGAGCTCCTCCAGGAGGCGGGTCCGACGCCGCGGCTCCGCCGGCGCCCGCCGTGACTCGGTCACTCTCGGGCCCGCGGGCTCCCGGCAGCGGCGCCGCGCTCCGCAAATCCCGCTCCTCCCCTCCCCCGGCCCGCCCCCCGCCCCTCTCCCCCGGCTCCCGGCCGCCGCCTCCTCCTCCTCCTCCTCTTCCTCCTCCTCCGCCTCCTTCCGCCGCCCGCACGCCGGCCCCGCCTCTCGCTGCCCGCGCCGGGCCCAGCCGCCCGCAGGCCGCCCGCAGGCCCCGCGGGCGGCTGGAGGCGGCACGGCGGCGAAGGCTCGGGGCGCGGTGCTGCCCCGTGCTCGCCTGCAGGCCACGGTCGGGCGTCCGAACTCGGCCTCGGCCTGGCCTCCGCCGCGCCTCGCCGCGCCGCGCCTAGAGGAAGAGGAAATGCCTAGCGGCGGACTGCCGCCGCTCGCCTGCGCGGCCCATGGGGCCCCCGCACGTCCCCAACCCACGCCTGAGGCCTGCCTGAGTCCATGCTGTAGGTGGCCTGCACTATCTCGAGGGTCGAGTTGCGACCCCTAGGGAGAGTGCGTCCCTTGGCGCGTGGCTGCCGCCGACCGCTGACCGCCTTGGGGCAGGTGCAGGAGTTTCTTTTTAAGCCAGCAGCCGAGTAGGGAGGCTGCTGGCCTGCAGTTGTCGGGTGTTAGGAGGCCAGGAGATTAGCGGTCAGAAGGGCGTGAGCGAGGGGGCGAAGAGGGGGCGAAGAAGGGAAACGGCCGCGCTTGGCCTTTCAGTGGACACTGCTAGAGACTGTCCAGGTGTGCTTGTACCAGCGCCTCGGCTCACCATGAACGTATTGCCTCGAAAACTTGGGGATTTTTGTCTTTTTTTTTTGCCCATGAACAACTTTGCGGTTTTTATGTGCCTTTTCTACTTTTACCCTCTTCCTTATTGTCAACTTTGTTTGCAGACATTATTAATTCAACAAATATTGATAACTGCGCATTATCATTTGTCAGTGGTAGCAGAGCTTGGTGAAAGTAGATTTCGCCTTGAAGTTGAGGCCCATCGGCTGTAGGATTCTGGTCTAAATTACTTAATCTTGCAGAGGTTCCGTTTGTCTTTGTTTTGGTGATTATTTCTTGTTTCTCCGTTTGAAAGTTAGCTTTTTTATTTTGATTGGGAGGTTATGATGGACACAAAATAGAATGGGCTAAGTCAACTGAAATTAGGTCTTAGGATACTGCTTGCTTTGGAGTTGATCTTGTCCGTCATTCACTAGCTGTATAATCTGGATCAAATGACTTAACATCTGTCTTGACTTCCCTGCTTTTAAAAATCGGTATAATAATAGGTAGATGCTTAATAAGAGGTAGACGTTCAGAATATTTTATGCTAAGATGTATATAAAACATCCAGCACGAGAGACAGTAAAAACAGTATTTTGTTGAACCTGATTTTAAGACACTTTCTTATTTCGAAGATACTATAAAGCTCATCTTAAAGTCAAAGGAAATAGACATTAGGTTACTCCTATCTACTCAGGGAACTGTATTTGGTAGTGACTAGTGATAAACAAACTAGGATTTAAATGAGAACTTTATCACCAGAAGTATTTCCACTGCATGTATGGCGCTTTACTCAAATGCATTGTAGCACAGCTTTTGGAGAAAGTGATCCAACTTGGCCATAAATGGGGTTTGGTGGGGTAGAAAGATCAAGGCTTTATTTAAAGAAGCCTAGCTAACATTTACTGAATGCTTACCCTGTGCTAGTACCTTTTTAAACATTTTACAGTATTTGCATATGTGATCCTGGGTACCTTTCTCTTAGTAGTCTCAATGTCTTGGGCTGTTAAAGTGAAGATAGCTGTCTTGATGAATAAATATGTCTTTACATAAATTATGTAAAGGTTTAGCCATTATCAGTTTTTCAGATACAATGCTATCACAGGTAGGAAAGCCTACAAAAAAACTGAACTTAAGAAAGGAATAAAAGTAAGTATAGAACCAGGCTTAGTGGCGTACACCTGGGATCCCAGTGAGGCTGAAACAGGAGGTTGACAAGTTTGAGGCCAGCCTAGGCAATTTAGCTAGACCCTGCCTCAAAAAAATAAAAAGGGTGGGACACAGTGGCACAGGCCTGTAATCCCAGGGGCTTGGGAGTCTGAGGCAGGAGGATCATGAGTTCAAAACTAGCCTCAGCAAAAGCTAGGCACTAAGCATCTCAGTGAGACCCTGTCTCAACATAAAATACAAAATAGGGTTGGGGATGTGGCTCAGTGATCTAGTGCCCCTGAGTTCGATTTCCCGGACCAAAATAAAAAGGAGGGGGAGCTGGGAATGTAGCTTAATGATAGAGTATCCCTGAGTTCAGTCCCCAGTACCACAAAATAAATAAGTATAGAGATTTACTTTGGCCATGTTGAAGGTTTAGCTAATCCTGTTTAGAGGAGCAAACAAATACAACTTTGTCTAAACTACCGGGGAATATCACATCTTTGACAGTTATTTCATTGTTTTTATTTACCACTATTTGGCACCAAATGACAGTTTCCAAAAATTAAATCTAACTTAGAGGTAATGCAGAACTATATGATTGTACATTATTTAAAAAAAAAAAAAAAAACTATTTCATTGTTTTCATTCAGGCAAAAGTAAGAAAAGGAAGAATGTGACCAAAAAGTCTTTTTTCCTGTTTGAATAATAGCAAGCAAAAATATGATTATGTGGGGTTCCATGCCCTTTATTAATTGAAAGGTCAGGTTCTTCAATTTAAAGCAATCTTCTACTTGTTGTCCTGCCATATGGAAATTTTTGTTTCTAAAAAATTTTTTTAATTAACCATGTTGGAATGTGATGATCATTACTATCCAAAGTTCGTGTATGAAGACAAGAATTGGTGTGAATATATTATGTATACAACCAGAGATATGAAAAATTGTTCTCTATATATGTAATAAGAATTGTAATGCATTCTGCTGTCATATATAAATTTTAAATTTTTTTTTAAGAATTAATTTAAGCCCTTATACCAAATCGTCCACCCACTGATTTTTGTTCCACTCTAGAAGTGTTTTCCATAAATCCTTTCCTCTCCCTGCTCTTTCTTGAGTTGTTCTTCTGTTGACAATTGTGACTAATATGCCTGGCCAAACTGTTTGTTTTGTTTTGCTGGTACCAAGGATTGAACTCAGGGGTGCTTTAACACTAAGCCATAGCTCCAGCCCTTTTACTTTTTAATTTGCAACAGGTCTCCCTAAGTTGCTTAAGGTCTTGCTAAATTGCTGACGCTGGCTTTGAACTTGAGATTCTCATGTCTCAGTCTCTACCTCCTGTCACTCGCCTGCCCCACCCCCAGTTGTATTCTTTAAAAGGAGCAAATGCATGTAAACACTGTAGTATAGCTGACAGTAGTGCATCACTGTCAGTTTTTTTGTTTTTCTATAGTTTGTAAGATGTTACTATTGGGGGAAGTACACACGAATTCTCTAACTTTCTGTGAGTGTATAATTGTTTCAAAGTAAAAAGCTATAAGGATAGAAGTCAGATCAATGATTACCTGCAGGACTGTATTGTAGAAAGAACTTTTTTTGTGGTGATGAGAAAATATTTCATATCTTGTTGTGGTATTGTTTACATAACTGGATAATGTTTGTCAAAACTTGTACACCCAAAAAGATGACTTTTTACTTCTTGTAAATTATGCCTCAATCAAACTGATTTTTAAAAAGAAAAACAAGGGCCACAGATGTGACTCAGCGGGAAAGCTCTTGCCTAGCATGCATGAGGCCTAAAACCCTAAACTCAATCCATACTAATGCCAAAAAAATAAAAAAAATGAAAGAAAGCAAGCTCTTGTCACCCCAGGCTCCTGGAATAGGATGCAATATAACTTCCTATATACGGCCCAACATGCTTTTCTAGCTGCTGACTTCTTGTGCTAGTGCACCCTTTGCCTCTACATTGATTCCTGGGTTGTTGCAACTGCTCTTCTGCTTATAGGCAACACAGGAAATTCATGCCCTAATTCAAGATCAAATTTCCTTTACTTCAGTAATCCTTCTCTGCCTCCTTAGGCTCACAGGTAACCCTGACACTTCCTCATTTGTGCTTGTTCATTTTTGTTTTTCTCTTTCCAATTAGGATCCTCCAGGCAGCAACCACAGAATTCATCAGTCTCTAGGATCCAGAAGTGTTGACAAGTGAGTAAATGACTGAATGATTTAGAACTGGGAGAAACCTTAAAGTAAGAGTTCTCAAGTGTGGTTTCAGAGTAGTGAGGTGTTAGGATTTTCATACTTCAAGCAAAGAACATGTCTCAATTGAATGCAGAAGCAGATAAGACCCACCTGTGTTTAATTAAAGTCAAGAGAGATTTGCAAAATGGAAAAACAATAACACACTTCTATTTTTTTAAAAAAATGTAGTTATTTTTCTTAAAAAATATATTAGTAAATTGGACTTAGTGATGCATGCCTGTAATCTCAACTACTTGGGAGGCTGAGGCAGGAAGATCACAACTTCAAGCCAGCATGCCCTGAGACCCTGTCTCAAAAAATTTAAAATGGCTAGGGGTACAGCTTAGTGGTAGAGCACTTACCTAACATGTCCTGGGTTGAATCTTCCAGTACTTCAAAACAAATTTTTTTAAAAGAGGTCATTTTTAGGGCTGGGGCTGTGGCTCAGTGATAGCACACTTGCCTGGCATGTGTGTGGCACTGGGTTTGATTCTCAGCACCACATATAAATAAAGGTCTATTAATAACTTTATATATAATATAAAAGGAGGTCATTTTTAAAACTGGAAAGGGATTCTGAGCCCAAAATGTTTGAGAATCTCTTCCTCACAGACTCTTAAAATTCCTCTTGTTCAAATGAGAAATGATAATGATTCTGACATGTAAGTAATACTCTGGTACATATAGCAGGCCTTGAGATAAATGCTATACTAGTATCTTCATTTTACTGATTCCTCAAATAAAGTACTGAGAAGTTAAATTGGCTTGCCCAGGATTTGACCTCAGTGGACTCCATCTAGATGCCCTAATGTTAACCACAAATTTCTTCCACCTCCCTGAGGCCTGGAAAGGTTCAAAAAGGCCTATGCCATCTGGTTACCTAATCACCTCTGTGTTCTCTCCCAATTTCAGTCACCATAAGGTCTTAAGTCATTGAGGCCTTGAATTTGCTTTACAGTTTTCATCCCGAATTCTTCTGAGTGTTTTTAAACATTACCTTGCTCAGTTGGTAGAGTGCTTTTGTGTTGCATGCACAGGTCATGGGTTCAATCCCCAGTACCATACCACCAAAAAATAAATAAAAATAACAGCTACCTTCCATTTTTTCCCAGTGCTCCCTGAGCAGCACATTCTCTGAAACTTGGAAAAATTCAGAGTGGATTAGCATCAAGGATGACACACAAATTTATAAAGTACTTAAAAAAAAATTGCAGGCTGGTGGTGTAGCTGCATGGCAGAGTGCTTGAATAGCACACATGAGGCCCTAGGTTTATAATCTAGCACTGCAAAAGGAGTAGGGGGAGATACACACACACACACACACACACACACACACACAGATTGGGCTGTTAGAAATCTAGAGGATTTAACAATAGTAGGAACCCAGGACCTCTGGACCATTGAGCCATTGAACTGGTTTTGTTTGGCATTCATACAGGCTCTTTTGTCCCTCCCCACCACCTTTGAATCCAGTGAATACTATGCAAGTACTCTACCACTGAACTACATCTTAAACCCTTTTTAAAAATTTTACTATGAGACAGGGTCTCTCTAAGTTACCAGGCTAGCCTCAAACTTGAGATCATCCTGCCTCAACCTCCCCAATATCTAGAATTACAGGTGTGTGTCACCACACCTGGTCCCTTCTCCTATTCTTAGATTATTATAAATCTTGACTGCTTGTCTCCAGCTGCTTTCCCACATCCCCAGAAGATTACCAGACCTTCTAATTCATAGAGGGAAGAAAATCCCAAAGCAGAAATTTCTTCCCCTTCCTGCTATGAGCCTCAGAAGGAATCTATTCTACTTTCCCAATCCTCACTTCCATCCCAGAAGAAAGGAGATGTCCTTTTTCTTGTTTTGTTCATTTGTGCTTATGATCCCAATTTATCCCACCTTTGGGCTCTTGCTCTTACCCACCCTTTAAGTAAGTGTATTTTGAACCACTTGGCTTCTACTGGTTCATTTCCTTCAACCAAAAAATACTTCTTCAATCCTATATTTCCTCTGGTTGTTGCCCTGATGTTTGTCTTTTTAGAAGAGCTTCTTGAAAGAATTGCCACTCCTCTTCCTCAGCATTATATCTGGGTGGATATTATGGCTGAGACTTTGGTGCTGTTGGCCACTCTCTTTTCTGTGATGCCAAACTCATCTCTTATGAGATGCCTCTATGCCCTATTGGGTTAAATGGAGTCTCCATCAACCTAGTTAATCATTCAAGATGAATCTGAAAAGGAGAACAATAAAATTTTATTAAGCGGTCTAAATTTTTAGCCAGGACAGGTTCAGCCAGGCATGTTGGTGCATAACTATAATCCCAGCATCATCTTGGGAGACTGAAGCAAGAGGATTGCAAGTTCAAAGCCAGTCTCAGTAAATTGGCAAGGCCCTAAGCAACTTAGTGAGATACTGTCTCAAAAAATAAAAAGAACTGGGGATGTGACTCAGTGGTTAAGCACTCATGGGTTCAGTCCCCAGTACCTTAAATAAATGAATAGTATTTTAATGAAAAGCAGTAAATTTCACCATGAGAAAACAAAGAAGCAAGAGGTTTCTGAAGCAGGAGAATTCTGGGAAGGAGGGAAGATCTGTACCCAGCATCCTATGTAGTCTGCTGATCCCATCTCTAGGCTGATCTGCATCAGTCTCTATCTGGCTTTGGTGGGAAAGTGGGAAGAAAGCAGAAAGACTCTTCTCTGAATCTGTCCTGACATCAAGCAGAGAAAGAGTCAGATACTTGATGTTTTTGAACTTCCTTCAGCTCGAAAATCCTCAGTATTTTGGGGAGAAATACTTTGATTTCCTACAAAACCCAGTGGTCATCCTACACTCTTGCATCCTTTAGCTAATAAGTCACCAAGTCCTATAAGTTTTACACATTAGATAGCTGGCAGCTCTGCCTCTTTCTCTATTCCCACAACCACCAAACCATTACAGGCCACTGCCACATCTCCTCATAATTAGTGATCTTAGTGCCTCACCATCAATTGTACTCCTTTCTGTGGCCCTTCATATCAATTTCAACCAGATTTTCTTTTTGACTATATTTTAAAAAGCATAAAAATTATGCATTGGGTCAGGTGTGGTGTCACATGCCTATAATCCCAGTTACTTGGGAGGCTGAAGCAGAAGGATCACAAGTTCGAAGTCAGCCTGGGCAACTAAGTGAGAACCTGCCCCACATAAAATAAAAAGGGCTGAGATGTAGTTCAGTGGTAAGAGTACGTGCCTGGCATGTGTAAGGCTCTAGGTTTAATTTTTAGTCCTGCAAAAGCAAAAACGTTAATACATTGGGTTGGGTACGTAACTCAGTTGTAGAGCTCCTAGCTAGCATGGGTGAGGCCATAGGTTCAATACTCAGCACCATAGAAAGAAAGAAAGAGAGAGAGAAAAAGGAAGGAAGGAAGGAAATAAGGAAATATAACCCTACCACTCAGTTATCCAGAGGTAAACATTGGTATATTTTGATATATTTTCTTTGTACAGCTATTGTACAGAGAAACAGTTATATCATTCTTCTGCTTTAAGCCCTTTGATGGCTCTCCTCAATGCTCTTCCAGGTTATAACTCAAATTCATACTAAGGTTTGAATTCCCTATAAGATCTACCCCTGCTCACTTCTTCAATTCATCTTCTGCCACCCACCACATAATCAGTGTTAGGTGGTTTGCCCTGGCTGCAGTAGGGTCTCCTTTGTTTCCTGCCACAGGTCCTTTGCATTTGCTTACTTTATTTATTCTCTAGATCACTCTACTGCTTAAGGCAGAATTCTTTTCTGTCTTCTTCACAGGAACTCAGTAAATATTTAGTGAACAAATGAACATTTAAAGGAAGTAGGGGGATGGAGAGGGAGTGTACAGGAGAGATGAGAACAACCTGAACAAGAACCATGAAATACCCTGAAAATGAAATTATCAGGATTTGGTAACTAAGTAAATATGGGGATGAGCGAAATAGGGACTCTAGGGTTACTCCCAGGGTGGGGCTGGAAACCCAGTGCATGATGTTCTATTAACTGAGCTCAAGTGTATAAGAGGAGAAGGGGTTGAGGTTGGGAGAAATGAGGGTTCCGTTTTTATTTATTAATTAATTTATTTAGGTGTTGGAGATTGAACCCAGGGCCTTGAACATGCATCTTACCCCTGAGCTATTATTAGCTCAGTTTTAGGTTTCGATTTTAGATACAGAGTTTAAGAAGCCTGTTTCATCCAGTAAAATTCAGGGGAGAATTTTATTTCAATTTGAATATCAAGATCATCAGCCTCCAGGTGGCAGTTAATACCATGTGAGGAGACAGAGGGTAAGAGGGAAATGAGTGTGAGATAGAGGCCATTAGGCCATGGGACAAGCCCTGAGCAGTAATGATACTGGAGGGGTTCCCAGAGAAGAAGTCTGTGCAAAAGAACAAAGGTGCAAAAGAACAAAGGAAGAGGCTATGTTGGTCAAAGGAGCAGTGTTGTCACAACAGAGACATCGCATGATGTCTGTAGTATGGCCCAAGAAATTATCTGTCAATGGAGGAATAGGGTCAGAAGCCATGTTGCAGTAGACAGAAAGTCCAGAAAATCCTCTAGACAGAGAATGGCTAAAGAGGACTTCCAAAAGATGAATTGAAATTAGTGTGTGAAAGAAGAACACTTTTATCACTAGGAATCAAATCAATATGAGTTAAAAGGGGATACTTTGCCTCTCAAATTGGTAGAAAAATATTTTTAACAATAGTCAATGATAAATGAAGTTATCACAGAGAATATGAGTTGTTATAAGCATTCCAAAATAGGATTTCATGGTTTCAAGAGCCTTGGACTTTTGCCCATTTAATTTGGCGGGGGGGGGGGGGGGGGGGGGGGGGGGGGGGGATTGAATCCAGGGATGTTCTACCACTGAGCTACATCCCCAACTCTTTTTTACTTTGAGGCAGTGTCTGGCTAAATTGGCCAGACTGGCCCTTAACTTGTGCTAAACTGGCCAGACTGGCCCCTAACTTGTGATCCTCTTCCCTCTGTTCCCTGGATCACCAGGATTATAAGCATGCACCACCACAACCAGCTTATGATATGTTTTTAATGAAAAAAGGATTTGAAACATGTACTTATCCTTTTCTAAATTATGTACATGTAGTATGGGGCCATTTTCTGTTTCTTAACAAAGCAAATAAGTAAAGACTGATACATTACACTTGTATGCCAGATACTCAGAAGGCTGAGGCAGGAGAATGGCAGGTTCACGAGGCTAGCCTTGACAATTTGGCAAGACCCTGTCTTCAGAGGAAAAGGGCTACAGTGTAGCTCAGTGATAGCATGAGGGAAGCCTTGGGTTCAATCCCTGCACTGCAAAAAAAAGAAAACTGTAGACACCTGCCTCTGAACCATTTCATGGGGAAGGTGTGAGTTAGGGCCACTTCCAGTGCAGTCACCCTCAGGGAGGGTGGGGGTGGTCACATGTTAGATATTCAAAGTTCTTGAACACTCTTAAATCAACTGGATCCAAATCCCTGAGGATGGGACCAACCACCTGCATTTGAAAGAACATCCAGGTGGGGATCCTGATGATGGAATAGTTGGAGAACCACCCCACTAAGTGTTCCTGATTCCTTTTACACTACTCCATTACTGCCAGTAAACCATTCTCTTCCCCAACTGGGCTGCTCTTGTGCTCGATTCTCATCATTTGCTTACTTCTAGCACAATCCTGCACTTAGCTCTCATAGTAGACTTTGCTTATTTGTGAAATTCATGTGTCCAAAATTAGAGCCCAGCAGTCCTGATCCACAGTTTGCCCTGTCACATGTTTTGACTCTGGAAACTGATGAATTCTTCATGAAGGCATTTCCTGTTTCAACAGTGACTAAAAATCATATGCCAGTAAAAAACCTCATACATCCACATAGAAAGATCCTGGGAAAAATAGGACTTAGTGGACTTGTTGCTCTAAGGAAGGTCAGCAAATGGGAGACATTTGAAAGTGAAGGGATAGAATACACGAGGAATGGATGCACAAACAAATCTGCCTGCAGCAAGTGTCTATTCTAAATGTGTCAGTCAAAGTCTCCCCCAAACCAGTGAAGAGTTAAAATATAGCCTGGAAAAGATCCCTATAATATAATGGTTAAGAAGGTGGTAATGACTCATTCCAGAGGTATAAGTGTGAACTATGTAGAATCCAGAAGGTGAAGTCATTAGGTATGTCTTGCCAGATGTGGTGGTGCATGCCTGTAATTCCAACTACTCAGGAGGCTGGAGCAGGAGGGTTACAAGTTCCAGGCCAGCCTGAGCAATTTAGCAAGACCCTGTCTCTCAAAATTAAAAAAAAAAAAAAAGTTGGCAGGGGAGCTCTTGGGATGTAGCTCAGTGGCAGAGTGCCCCTAGGTTCAATCCCCAGTACTAAAAGGGGAAAAAAAAATTAAGGAATTATAGAATCTTTCATACTCTACAAAAAAAGTTTATCAATCTTTGATTTTAGCCTTTATCACTATATTCTCAACTTGTTCTTGCCTCTTAACTGATACCTAAGCTTCTGATCTTTCTCTCATCCTGTTTTTCCTCTATTCTGCACTTGTTTTTTTGGTTTCTGTTTTATTGTTGTTTTGTTTATGTTGTGTTGTTTTGTTTTTTGTTTATTTTTTAAATACTAGGGATTGAACCTAGGGGCACTTAGCATTGAGCCATATCCCCAGTCCTTTTTATAGAGTCTTGTTAAGTTGCTTAGGGCCTCACTACATTGCTGAGGCTGACTTTGAACTTGCCATCCTCCTGCCTCAGCCTCCCCAGCCACTGAGATTTCAGTTGTGTACTACTGTGCCTGGCTTCAATTGTTTTTTTAAAATATAAAAAATAGCCAGTTGTGGTAGTAGTGTATGCTTGTATTCCCAGTGGCTCAGGAGGCTGAGGCAGGAGGATCACAAGTTGGACTACCAGCCTCAGCAACTTACCAAGCAACTTAATGAGATCCTGTCTCAAAATATAAAAAGGACTCGGGATGTGACTCAGTGGTAAAACTCCTCTGGGTTCAATTCCTAGTACCAAAAATAAATAAAACAAAAAATATAAATCCCTCTACAGAAACTTTGTTGGCTCCTCATTTCCTGTAACCTTCATATGAGGTTTTTAAGATTTGTCACAACCTGGCACCTGTCTTCATCTGTTTTGTCTCTTTCCATTCCCTCTCTTCTCTGTGTCCTGTACACCAGCTACAACAGGCCACAGGGCTAGGCTTGTACAGCTCTGCAACTCTGTACCCCCAACCCCTCACTGGAATTTCCTTTTCTGTGGTGTCTGCTGTTCGAGTGTCTTCATCATTCTGAGCTTTTCTATAAACCCTGTCCTGATCTTCAGCTCTTTTCTTTTATATGTCAGGTTAAGATAAATTACACTGCTGTAATAATCACCTCAAAATCTCAGGGGCTTGAAAGTACAAATAAAACTAACATCTGAAGGTGTAGCTGAGTGGTAAAGTCCTTGCATAGCATGTATGTGGCCCTGGGTTCAATCCCTAACACCAAAAAAAAGGTAAGAATGAAGAGTCGCTTATAAGAAAATGCCTCACTGCTGGAGGGCTCAAAAAGCATCTTTGATTTTTTTTTTTCTTAACAGAAAAAGACAACCTATCATTTTCTTTCTAATATGCACATGACTAATTAACAGATAATTGTACTTTGACCTAAATCAACTGTTGTGGTTGGTAAGTAATAGTAAAAAATAAACTTCACTTAAGAGCGGGAAATCTGGGAAGATAAAGTCTTTATTAGAGTTATCCTTAGATCTGCTTCTGCCCACAGCAACACCTGGGGCCCATTGCAACTTCCTGTGACCCTATCTCTTGAACCAGTGCTAGAGGCAGGGAACCAGGTAAGCAGTCTCAACTTGGGTGGTGGTTCTTCTGTCAGTAACCTCACCTGGTGTTTTTGTTTGCTTGTTTGTTTTTGCAGTGCTGGGAATTGAACCCAGGTCCTTCTGTGGGCTGGTCAGGTAATCTACTGTTGAACTACCACCCCAGCCTCAAAGCCACACTTATACCTGCCTCAGTAGATCTGTGGAGTTTCTCCAGGGTGTCTCCCCTCTCTGTTCTGAATACACTAACTCCAGCTGGACAGCTCTAGTCCTTGTCCTACCTGCTAATATTTGGTTTCTGCTCAGCTTCTACAGTGTGACACTTTTGAAAAAGCCTGCTAGGCTCACCTTAAGGTTTCTCCCATACTATCCTGCTGTCTCTTCAGCATCTATTATACAATTCACAGATTCACCTGGGTTCCAGCAAGCACTTAGGGAGCAGACTCTACTTTGTTAGCCCTGGACTAATCCCTGAGTCCTGTGTTGCTTTTCTGCTTACTGCTGCTTTATATTCTGGCCCTAGGGGCCAGCAGTGCTGGTACCGCCAATGGGCTTACATGTTTTTTCAGAAACCTTTGCCTGTGGCCTGGAGTATAATTAAATGGTAGAATGTTTGCTAATAGAAACTAATTTTTAAAAAATGATGATTTCTTGTCCATGATCCACACCTGGGTCCTGCTACGTTTTGCTGTCTTCATTGTTTGCCCTATGCACTGGATCTCTAACTCTTGAGTACTATTCCAGAGCACTACATCCTGCATTTGTTCCTCCTAGGTACTGTTCTCCATCAGAACCCAAGAAACTGCCAGGCTTGGAAATGAAAGCTGTCATCATTATGTACTCCATCCAGATCTATTTCTCACCTCACATATCTCAGCCCCAGTCTGGTTTCATGTGCATGCCCAAGCACTCTTGATGTGGACCTCAATTAAATCTGCCTTGTTTCCTTGGGATCAGTCACTGTAGCACCATCTTCATGGAACACTAAACACTGTCATCTCTCTTTGAGAGCCCACCCTGATTTCTTTACTAATCCTAGTTCACGACTGGTTCCTGCTTTTTTAACTTCACTTTGTTCCCTTCTTGCTGGTTCTGGGTGATTGTTTATAAAAAGTTCTGAATGTTCTTTGGATTGATTCTTTAAAACCCAGTGCCCTGTCCCCTCTCCACTCTCCTCCCCCACTACTACTGCTCACCATTCTAATGCTGAGACCAGCTCTTCAGAACTCAGATGGCAAACACCAGGGACTACTGGTCCAGACGTATAAATAGCAGCTTCTCCTACCCAATAGAGTTCATGCTCATGTAAAGCACTTTATATGTCTATACCCAGAATAGTATCCGACCAAAGTCAAGTCTCTATAAGTGTTTCTTACATTATTCCAAAATTAAGGAAGTGAAGCAGACATTCTCTCTTGTACAAGAATATCTTTGGAATAAAAAATTAAGACAAGTCACAAATGGATATAAGTTACTGGTATAACAGTGCCTAATTTTTAAAATAATTTTATTCACATAACTTAAAAGTCCTTCTACTAAAGGTTTTTAGTATATTTGTAAAGTTATACAACCATCCCCATAATCTAATTCTAAAACATTTCCATCATCCTGTATTCTTTGGCAGTCATTTTCCAGTTTCCCCTTTCCTAGCCTCTGGCCACCAACTAATCTATTTTCAGTCTCTATGGATTGCCTATTCTGGATATGTCATACAAATGAAATCGTACAACATGTGTCTTTTTGTATCTGTTGTCTCACTTAATGTCTCTAAGTTTAATTTGTTTTGTGGCATGTACTAGTACTTCTCATTCCTTTATGTGGGTGCATAATATTTTATTTGAGAAGGTGTACTTTGTTCATCTACCCATCAGATGATGGATATTTATGTTATTTTACCTTGTGGCAATTGTGAATAATGTTTCTATAAACACTTGCTGTGTCAAATAGAATTATATGTACTGACAAAAATGTCCATCAAGTTTTTATTTTTTTAAAGGAGAGACTATATAAACTGGGCATCCTGGTGCATGCCTTGTAATCGTTATGACTCAGGAGACCAAGGCAGGAGATTTCCAAGATAGAGACCACCATCTACCTCTGCCATGCTGTTCAGGTACTCTCAGGCCCAGAGCAATGGAGTCAGCCATTTATGGACTGAGACCTTTCAAACCATGAGCCCCAAATATACTTTTCCTCCTTTATAATTGTTGTTCTTAGGTGTTTGAGCCACAGCGGTGAAAAAGCTGACTGAAATATATAGCAGTATATAACTTCAGCTCTTCATATACATTTTCATATTTCCCAGTATGGTTTGAAACTATACATGAATTCTGATCATTATTTTTCAGATACCATTGGTGGTTAAAGTTGAGGGGGCAAATGCTGAGACTTAATTGAGGAAGGAATGCTCTATTGGTTAATATTGTTCCTCAAAATTATTTCTTGTGGCTGTCAATTGCACATTACTGTGAGGATTGAACTGAGTATTAAATATGGGCAGTGTGGTATTTAGCAGCTCACACTATTTAGTGATAACTAATATTGAAGGTTTATTTGTTTTTTGTTTTGTTTTTTGGTACAGGGGATTGAACCTTAGGGGCACTTAATCACTGAGCCACATCCCCAGCCCTATTTTTGTATTTTATTTTAGAGACAGGGTCTCACTGAGTTGCTTAGGGCCTCACTGAGTTTCTGAGGTGGTTTTGAACTCATAGTCCTCCTGCCTCAGTCTCCCCAGCTGCTGGGAATACAGGCATGCATCATTGTACCTGGCTGCATCTTTTTTGATTTGGTTAATATGTGTGCCATAACAATTATTGAGCGTTTGGAATGCCATACCTCCTTATAGAAAATCAAACTTGTCAATCTTTCATGTGCTTGGTAATTACTAATTTCCTTTTCTTCTCTTTTGGGCTCCTTTATGTTCCTGATCATTCACGGTAGGTTGCTGATGGCTAGTGTCCATTTTTTATTGTCCTGTATCCCTGAAACATCCCTGCAGTATGCTTGGATACCCTTTGGTAAGTGTTCTGGTTCTTTTATTATGAAAATATGATCTTTCTGTATAGCCCTTTACCCTAATGACTTTGACAGTTGCTCATATTTCCTCAGTTCCCCCTTGAGCCACACTGTCTGTTAACTTGAAAGGCCTTTTCTAAAGAAAATCTTTTTGTATAAACACATTGGGTTCATAGTCAGTAATGTCCACACTCATTGTTACCCATGATGATCATCAGCTAGTATAATGTTAAAGGTGTTAATTTTGGGGTTGTTTATAATGCTGAACCAATGGAAACAATTTAACTCATTAATATGGAACTGGTTATATAAAGTATGATAAAATTATATGTTGCAGGGGTCAACACACTTTCTCTGTAAGGGTCGGATGTAAGCTACGGAGTCTCTGATGCAGCGTCTCAATTTTCCTGTTGTAGTATTAAAACAGAAACAATATATAAATTAATAAGCATCATAGCTATGTTTCTGTAAAATTTTATTTAGGAGGTAGACCATATTAGGCCTGTAGGCCATAAATTGCTGGACCCAATGTAATGAACTTTCACTCTATGACTATTTAAAAAAATCAAATAGAATTATATATATTGACAAAAATGTCCATCAAGTTTTTATTTTTTTACAAGAGAAACTATATAAGCTGGGCATGATGGTGCATCCCTTGTAATCCTTGTGACTCAGGAGACCAAGGCAGGAGATTTGCAAGATAGAGGCCAGCCCAGGCAACTTAGTGAGAATCTGTCTAAAAATAAAAACAAAAAGATGCCGAGTGTGGTGTTGCAGTCCTGTAATCCTGGTGGCTTGGTTTGGGAGGCTTCTGCAGGAGGATCACAAGTTCAAGACCAGCCTCAGCAACTTAGCAAGGCACTAAGCAATTTAGCAAGAGAGAGACCCTGTCTCAAAATAAAAATGGGCTGGGGATGTGGCACCATGGTGAAGTTCCCCTTCATTAAATACCCAATAACTCCTTCCCAAAAAATAAATAAATAAACAATAAAAACAAAGAGCTAGGGATATTGTTCAGTGGTAGCGTGCCCCTGGATTTACTAACACAAAAGGAAAATAAGTAAATAAATACATACACACACACACATATATATATATACATTTAACATATATTTAATACATATATTAATATATATATATTTAACATATATATATATAAAATTTGGTCAAAATTCCACATACACACTTTGTTTGTAGCACTGGGAACTGGATCCAGGGACACTTTGTATCTGATATAAATCCCCAGCCCTTTTTAAATTTTATTTAAGACCGGACTTTACTAAGTTGCACAGGCTGGCCTTGAACTTGAGATCTTCCTGCCTTAGCCTGTGAGTAGCTGGTACTACACATGTGCTACTATGCCCAGCCACATACCTATATTTGTGTGGGTCAGAAAGAGCCTGAAAAGACACATGCTTAACTTTTAACAGTAGCCAGACCACATTAGGGCAGGTAGACACTTTTCCTTACCTTATTATTTTTTTTTTTAATTTTTTAGTTGTACACAATATCTTTATTTTGTTTATTTTTATGTGGTCTGAGGATTGAACCCAGGGCCTCACACATGCTAGGCAAGCGCTCTACCACTGAGCCACAATCCCAGCCCATCCTTACCTTATTATTGAATATTATGTTGTGAGAGAGCCTTGCCTTTGATATAATTAAATAAAATGCAACTAGGATTTGTTTTTTGTGTTTTTTTGTTTGGTTTGGTTTGATCTCGGTACCAGGGATTGAACTCAGGGGCACTCAACCACTGAGCCACATCCCCTACTCTATTTTATATTTTATTTATTTAGAGATAGGGTTTCACCGAGTTGCTTAGTGCCTAGTTTTTGTTGTGGCTGGCTTTGAACTTATGATCCTCCTACCTCAGCCTCCTGCGCTGCTGGGATTACAGGCGTGGGCCACCATGCCAAGCTTGGGATTTGTTTTAAAAGTTAAAAAAAAAAAAAGTTAGCCTTAATAATTATGTATATAAGCTTGTATTTTACATAAAATCTAAGAACTTCACAATTAAAATAACTCCCAATCATCATTAACAAAGTGACTATAACCTCAGCTACTTATGGCTTTAAATGGGAGTTTATTTATTTATTTTGTATCTTTTGGTGGCAGAAATGGGACCCAGGGGCGCTTTACCACTGAGCCACATCCCCAACCGGGTCTTGCTAATTTGCTTAGTTTTGATAAATTGCTGATGCTGACCTTGAACTTGCAATCTTCCTGCCTCAGCCTCTTGAGCCGCTGGGATTACAGGCATGCACCACCATGCCCAGTTGTAAATGGGGGTTTAGACAGATTCATGGTCATAATAAGGGATATTTAATTGAAAAGTCAGATCAATGCCTTAGCTGGGAACCAGGAGCTGTATCTGGAGGCAGGTTCTGCGGATCCTGGGGACAGCCTCAGCAATGCTGTCATGTCAAGCATCTTTCTAGATCTTCAGGGTCTCAGGAATGTGCAGCAGCTTCCAGCTTCCTGGTCATTAACTGCATTTGCTCCTACCAGATTTCTCCTTTGCCAAGAACCCTCTCCAGGCCAGGTCCTAAAGCAGGAAGAGGACTCATGCACTTTCACAGCCATAGCAGGAAGAAAACTATACATAGATAAATACACACCACACACATGAAGGTGAGTGCCAGTGGGAGGGGTCTTGGTAGAATAAGTCACATTTGAGTCACATCTAAGTCACTCTGAAGCCTGAGTAGGAGCCTGCCACATTGCCCAAGGCAGGGCAGGAAATTCAAGCAGGCAGAAGTAAGGGATGAACAAAGACAAGGCTAGCAGTTACAGATCAGGAAGGTAAACCAGCAGAGTTTCCGGAAAGGGAGAAAGGAAGTCACATTTGAGTGCTAGAGAGATTTTTCTGGTGGTAGGGGAGGAGAATGTGTGAGGAAAGCAGTTAATGATTTCTTGTCCAGGTGAGAAGTTTAGGCCTTCTGCTCCATTATGGTGGAGTCAAGACTTTGCTTTCTTCACTTCTGGGCCATGTCCAAAGCTGCACCTTCTACTTCCTGTGTCCTCTCCCCTCCTCTTGGCATGGTCAGTTCTCCTTCTTTCTTTGAGTTTTAAAATTAATGTGTGAGCCGGGCATGGAGGCGCACCATAGTAATTCCAGCTACTTGGAGGCTGAGGCAGGAGAATTGCAAGTTTGAGGCCAACCTGGGCAATTTAGATGGTGTCTCAAAAGCTAAAAAGGATTGGGTATGTAGCTTAGTGGCAATATCGCTGGTTACCAGTGATGAGTTCTGCTTCCTCACATTTTGAAATATAACATTAAAGAAGCATGCAGAGGCAAGCATATAAAGCAGAATTTATTGTAAAAAGGGGTAACAGACTTTTCCCAGCAGGGAGAAGGGGGCCATAGCTGATATCTTAGTATCCAAGAAGCCAGGGTGTTTTGCCTTTTTATATGTCCTAGGCTTCCTTTGTTCTCTTGCTCTTTTCCCTTTATCTCTCTCCTTCCTGCATAGGTAACTAGACCCAGGAGATGCTCAGTGGGATGGCCAAAAAGTGAAAAGCTGATGGATGGGGGAAGGGCCAGATGGAGCAGCTCAGGACACATTAATTAACAACTTTATAACTCCCTGTAGGGAGAGACAATTCCTGGGACAGGTTACCTTAGTAACAAGTTGGAGCAGGGGCTGATAAGGGTGATAAGGGTGGAGGAAGGGCTCTGGAGGCATTTTAATCCCTCAGGGGGCAGTCTCCGACTTCCAGGACTCACTCAAATTATCTATACTGAGTGCCTGTCTAATTCTGACTTCAGTGGTCAAGTTCTTCTGAGTTCAATTCCTAGTACCACACACATGAACACAAAATAATAAAATAAAAAGCTACGTGGGGGTGCTGGAGTTGTGGCTCAATGGTAGAGTACTTGCCCCACATGCGTGAGGCCCTGGGTTGGATCCTCAGCACCACATAAAAATAAATAAATAGATAGATAGATAAAGATGTTGTGTCCATCTACAACGAAAAAAATATTTTAAAAAACTATCTGGGGAGGTAGCTCAGTCTTGCCTGGCTTGTGGGATGTCTAAGTTTCAATCCCTAGTGCCACAAAACAAGTTAGGTGTGACCTCACTTAGAAAAACTCACTGACCTCTCAGATGGCCCCTGTCATTCTCAAGCTGAGTAAGGAACCGGTATTCTGGGCTCCAGAATGCTTTGTGCCTTTTCCTGTCTCTGAATCAATTCCATGGCTCTAGGATTGTGTTTTGGTTTCTTTACCATTATAATATGATTTTTCACTGGGCAGGGGCCAGATCTCACTAATCTTTTTGTTGTTGTTATTGTTGTTTGTTTTGTACTGAGAATTGAATCCCAACTCCCTATCCCTTTTTATTTTTTTATTTTGAAAGAGGAGCTAAGTTGTCTAGGGCCTCTCTAAGTTGTTGAGACTGACTTTGAACTTGCAGTCCTTCTGCCTCAGCCTCCTGAGTCACTGAGATTACAGGCCATGTGCCCATGCCCAGTTCTTTGTGTCTTCAACACCTAGCAGAGAAAGTCTGACACCAAGAAGATAAGTAGCAAATAACTGTGACTGGATGAGTAAAGAATAGATGAAAATTTGAGAGAGATTTTGGGGGTTGAATTAGAATTGCTTGGCAAGAGATTGGGCAGGACTGGTGACAGGGTGGTGTCTAAAATGATCCCAGGTTTTCTGGTTTGGGTGCAGGGGACATTTACACTGTTTTTACTCATAATTCTTTGAATGCTGAGTGTATAGGATTTGCAGACTAATTGCCCAGTTCTCAGACACCAACTGAGTATCCAACAGTTCAGTTTAATTCTGATACTTTCTACCTAGAGTTAGAGTCAGATCCCACCAGTTAAAAAGGTCTGTCCCACAAGACAGCCTTCATTTCAGACACAGGTGACCAGTCTCATGTTGACATCTATATTTCTGACCAGCCAGCTATATAAATCCCTGGGTTCCCTTGACCATCCTTCTTCACATTCAAAAATGTGCTGGAATGGCTTACAAGACTCAGGGAAACATTTTAGTCATACTTATGAGTTTAAATGTATAAGGGTATAACGCAGGAATAGCCAGGTGGAAGAGATGCATAAGGCAAGGTATTAGGCATTCAGGGCTTCTCTGTCATTTCAAGGCACAGCACCTTCATAGCACTTCAGTGTGTTCACCAACCAAATAGCTCTTTTGAACCTTATCATATAGTTCCCCCAGACCCTCTACTGGGGTGCTCTACCACTGTACTACATCCCCAGCCCTTTTTATTTTTTATTTTGAGACAGGGTCTCACCAAGTTTTGAAGGCTGCCCTCAAACTTGAAATCCTCCTGTGTTAGCCTCCTGAATTCCTGGGATTATAGGCAGGTACCTCTGCACCCCTGATATTATATATGGGTTTTAATGGAGGTTTCATTATGTAGACATGATTGATCAAAGTACTGGCTATTGATGATTAATTCAACCTTTAGCCCTTTTCCCCTTTTGGAAGCTGGGAGATAGGGCAGAAAGTTCCAAGTCTTTGTCAAGGCTGGCTCTTGCTTGTGGCTAGCCCCAACCTGAAACTATGAAGAACCCCCAACCACCAGTCATCTCATTTGCATGCGAAAGACACTTTCCTCATTCCTGAGATTCCCAGGGTTTTAGGAGCTTACATTTATCACTGGAGGTGGTAGTGCCATTAAACTAGGTGACAGATAAGAAGAACAGATATGAGAAAAAAGACTATTTCCTTCAGCTACCTTGTAGTGAAACAAAACAATAATCACTGTTTCTGGTTCACTGGGATGGCATCCTCATCTCCACTCTTGGACTGAGCTGACAACCCCCAAATACCTACAGGACTTGGCTTTTACTAACCAATTCCCAATTCTCTTCCATGTGTTTACAGTCTTGTGGTTTTCAGTGTTCTGCAGAATGCCTCCTTCTGAACTTCCACTAATTAGTGTCTTTGGTTTGTCCACTTATCTAGGGATCTTTCAATTACTAAAAAGAGGTCTCTCACCTCTACCCATATCTCAGGCAGCTTTGTGAACATTTTCTCATGTGATCCATTTTCTATATTCAGAAGAACTACAGAATATAGGTCAAGGCTCTTTCATGCATATAACTGAAAGCCTGGAATGCACAGGTATAACCCAAAAGGGAGTTTATTGGCTCACCAAACTGAAAATTCCAGAGAATAGACTTAACTTAAGGCATGCTTCCATTTAGGGATATAAATGCTGTCAGGCCCTGATTTTCACTCCTGATGACTCAGGGTCACTTCTTATCTCTCAACTTTATTCTCAGGAGGTTCTTCCCATGCAGTGCAAGGGGGGTCAGGGGGCTGCAGTTACCATAGACTGTTCCTTTTATGCTTAAATCAAGCCAAAAAGAGTAAGCCTTTTATCTATCTGTGCCTGCAACAACAGTCCAGAGAGTTGCTCTGATGTGGTTGGTAGGATTGTTTGTTGGCCTCTGAATGATCTCTAGATCAGGGACTGCTGCAGGCCTGGGTGGGGCTCGGGGGTGGATAAACCACAGATATTCACTAACTTGCTGAAATCCTCCCCTCCCAGGAGGTGGAGCTCAGATATTGCCAACAAAATTGACAGGACTACAAGTATGTGCCACCATGCTGGGCTCCTATATCTTTGCTACTTGAAGTCATCAAAGTTTCAGTGAGTCTGGTACATTGCAACATTATTGGGGGGGGGGGGGGGGGGGCGGGGGCGGGGGTTAACCCTGGAGTGCTCTAGCACTGAACTACATCCCCAACCTTTCTTATTTTATTTTGAGATGGTCTTACTAAATTGCCTAGGCTGGCCTCAAACTTTTGGTCCTCCTGTCTCAGCCTCCCCAAATGCTGGGATTACAGGCCTGCACCACCTTGCCTGGCTCTCTTTTAGATACTTCTATATTGCCTGAAAATATGGTACCACTGAGTCATGACTCTAATTCATGATTCTAAGACAGAAGTGATATCCTTGCTTTTTCTGTGTGGAACCAAAGGACTAATCACGTCCTGCTGGCTGAGTCAAGACTATCTACATGCCTTCAAGGCACAGGCCCTTTTTGTTTCCCTCCACCCCACCCACCCCAACCCAGTACTGGGGATTGAACCCTCTAGTGTTCTACTTCTGTTCTACTTCTCCCGCCCTTTTTATAAATTTTATTTTGAGATGGGCCTTGAACTCGGCACCCTCCTGTCTCAATCTCCTGAGAAGCTGGAATTATATGCATGTGCCACTGCTCCCAGCTCTTTTAGCTATTTAATAACTAATCTCTGGGGAAATGCAGGTGAGGGGGAAAAAAATCCCAAATATGGAAAGGTTGTAGAGTCAATAAATCTCTTAATTATAGCTTTAATCCTTAAATAGTTTACAATTATTTTTCTTAATAAAACCTAGAAGCCTAATTTATTAATTTGTTATCTCATCTAACACGCATAAAGGCCCAGTGTTAGTTCTCTAGAAGCTCACAGACTCACTGAAAATTTGATGACTTCAAGTAGCAAATATATAGGAGCCCAGCATGGTGGCACATACTTGTAATCCTGTTGATTCAGGAGGCTGAGGCAGGAGGATTGCAAGTTCAAGCCCAGTCTCAAAAGTTTGAGACCCTGTCTCAAAATAAAAAGGACTAGGGATATTGCTCAGTGGTAAAGCACCCCTGGGTTCAATCCCTGGTACCAAACAAACAAAAAACAAAGATGTAGAGGTAAAGCTTTGGCAGGAAAGAATCCCCCTTTGCACTAGAAGCTTGCTCAGCTATGTACTCAGCACTGCTCTATTCCCTAGAAGCCTCTGAAAAGCAGTTTCCCAGCCAGCACACCAGGGTTGAAATACTCTTTCTTCACACCAGGAGCACACTACTACATTGCAAATGGGAGGGTTTGATGTTCATGGTAGCATAAACTTTATGAAGGGCAATTTGGCAATAACTAATAAAAGTGTGCCACTCTTTTGTCTTTTAGAACTGTTTCCTTGCACATGTAGGAAATAACTTTTTTTAGGTGGTACTAGAGATTTAGCTCTGAGCTGTACCTTCAGTTCCTTTTTATAAAACTCTGAGACAGGGTCTCCCTAAATTTCCCAGGCGGAACTACAACTTGTGGTCCTTTTGGCACGTCACTGGGATTACAGGTGTGTGCCTCTGCCTAGCTGAGCATCTTTGGCATGAAATTTTGTTGTTATTGAGAGATGCTTAACCTATCATAAACGCTCATTCCCTTGCTATTCCCCCTATGAAAAGCTTTGATCTTTCACAGACTAGATTTTGGTCCAGGATAGGTCCTGTGTCTCAGAACGTGACAGTTACTTGGTTGGTTCTCTCTGCTGATAGCTGAAACACTCCAGTGTCTCCACCTGTGTTGCTCACCACTGTAGCTATTTGGGGTTAAATTTGTTCCTTGCTCAGGGCTGTACCAGTTCTCAGCTCTTCTTCCTGCTCCAGTAGGGAAAGTCCCTTTACATGCTTAAAACTGAAACCAAAGTATAACAGCCAGTTGGCCACCACAAAGGCGGGTCCCCACAACCATCATGTCTCCACCCACTCTAGGTTCCTATCGGTACCTCTTAAATCTTTAAATCCTCATAGTTGGCCTTCTTCCTAAGAAGTTTCAGGCCCTGGCGGCTCCAGGAATCCAGCTCCTGGCAGTTTCTAAATCTAGATAAATTTTTCCTCCAGAGAGGGATTTTTGTCCCCTGCCCCCCCCCATGCTTTTCTTTTATGATTCACATTTTAAATTTAGCCAAGAATTGCAGAAGGATTTTAAAAGGTGAAAGAAAGCCAGTAGGTGATCTTGTCTTTCTCCAAAGAGGAGGATTGAGGAGGCATCTTCCTGACTTCTCTGGAAACCCTTAAGTTAAGGATGCAAGTGTTCTTAAGGACCACAGAAGTAAAACAAATGACTGTAGCCACTTGGAGTGAGATAATGGCAGTGGAAGTGTGGGTATGATGGAGGTGAGGTTGAAGGACTGAGGGATGGTCCACATATACCAAGACCCTCTGCCCCAACCTATATTGGAACCTGGGATTTTTTTGTGTGGTGAGAAGAGGCACATGAAATTTTGTTGTGAAATTCCACACATCTTTATTTATTTTTGGTTCTGTGGGTTAAACCTAGGGTCTCCCACATGCTACCATCGAACTACTGCCCCCAGTTATCTTTTTTATTTTTCTCAGACTACATTTTTTATTATATACCTCCAATTATCTTTAAAATGTTGTTATGAGTTTTTTGTTGGTACCAGGGATTGAACCTAGAGCCACTTAACCCCTGAGCTACATCTCTAGCCCTTTTTTGTATTTTATTTAGAGTCAGGGTCTCACTTAGGGCCTCACTAAGTTGCTGAGGCTGGCTTTGAACTTGCAGTCCTCCTGTCTTAGCCTCCTGAGTAACTGAGATTGCAGGTGTGCACCACCACACTTGGCAGTCTTTAATAAAGCATTGTGAGTTCAGGAATAGGTCTGCACTTCTGCTAGTTTTCTCCTACCTGCCCCTCAGTCTGCAACCTTCAGTCTGCTGGACTGCCCGTGTAACCAAAGGCTATTTGATCTCTATGGCTGGATTTAAATGGTTTTAATATTTGAATATTTTATTAAATTTATGAAATATTTTGCTTGAATTTATAGAACTGCATTTGTTTTGCTTATACTTAACTCATTTCAAAAAAAATGGTAATAATTTTAAAAATTGTGGTAAAAGATGCCTAATATAAAATTTACCATTTCAACCACTTCTAAGAGTATAGTTCAGAAGCACTAAATAGATTCACATTCTTATGCAACCATATCACTATCCATCTCCAGAATTCTTTCATTTTCTCCAATTGAAACTCTATACCCATTAAACAATAATTCCACATTCTACCTCTAGCTATATCCCCACCACATCCATCTAGGGTGCTGCTGTATGACTAGCTCCTAGCAACTACCACTGTACTTTGTATTCTATGAATGTGCCTAGTCTACTTACCTCAAGTAAGTGGAATTCTATAATATGTGTTTTTTTGAAAAAATAACACAAAATTTATTACATACCTAAGGCATGGAGTATTTGATTCCAATATTTCCTTTTTTTTTTTTTCTTTTTGTACTGTGAATTGAACTCAGGGTCACTTTACCACTGAGCTGCATCCTTGGCCCTTTCTAGTTTTTATTTTGATACAGGACCTCACAAAGTTGCTGAGGCTGGCTCAAACTTGCCATCTTCCTGCCTCAGCCTTCTAAGTAGCTGGGATTACACAAGTATACCATCACACCTGGCATTTTTCACTGTATTTTTAAATTTTTAAAATTTTTTAATTGTATATGGACACAACACTTCTTTTTCTATTTATTTATTTTTAGGCAAGCACTCTCCCTCTGAGCTCTACCACCCCAGCCCTTCACTTTTTTTTTTTTTTTTTTTTGGTGCTGGGAATCCAACTCAGGGCCTTATGTATGCAAGGCAAGCACTCTACCAACTAAGCTATAGCCTCCAGCCCTTTCACTGTATTTTTTTTTTTTTTAAAGAGAAAGAGAGAATTTTTTAATTTGGTGGACACAACATCTTTATTTTATTTTTATGTGGTGTTGAGGATCGAACCCAGTGCCCCACGCATGCCAGGCGAGCACGCTACCGCTTGAGCCACATCCCTAGCCTTGTATTTTTAATATTATATATTGACAAGACCATTGTTCAAACTAAGTCAAAAGGTAGTAGAGAAGTAATGTGCTGTAGTTCCAACTAACCAACCAATGGGTCAGCCTCCCTCCCACCCCCTTCCATGGTCCAGGCATCTTCCCCAGTAGCAGCCCTCCTGCCTCCAGAAGTTAGAGCCTGGTTTCTGCCTCTATCCACAGGATAACACTGTCAGCAGAGCCAGCAGCCTTGGGTACAAAGCAGTGAGGACCTCCAGAGAATCTCTGGGGAGCCATATCTTACCTTCTTTATAACTTGCTTCTTAGTAACCCTGGCCAGCTTTGAAATGGCTGGAAGCACAGCCCCTGCTGTGGAGATCAGACAAATAAGCTTCCTCCCACAGATGAGAAGATGTTCTGTCACACTAAAGTACCTAGGTGGGCTCACAGCTATCAGAATTGTTGTTAGAAAAAGGAGTCCACAGTTCAGTGAACCTAAAACTCAACCTCTGATTTTGGGTTGATGCTTCCAAACTCTAGACTTGACTCAAAACTCAAAAATTTAAGCCAGAGGCTGGCAAATGATGGCCTGTACCAGGTCAAATGTGGCCTGCTACCTGTTTTTGTTTATAGTATTGTGATTGAACCCAGGGATACTCTCCCAGAGTTGTTGTACCCCCAGCACTTTTTATTTTATTTTTTTTATTTTGAAACAGAGTGTTACTAAACTGCCAAGACTGGTCTCAAACTTGCAATTCTTCTCTCAGTTTCCCCAGTTGTTAGGATTATAGACTCCCAGCTGTACCTCTTTTTGTAGGACTTGTGAAGTTAGAATGGTTTTTACATTTAAAGTGATTGAAAAAAATTAAAGGAAGAATTATACTGGAGGACTTGTAATATTTATATGTAAATCAATAGTGTTCATAGGGAGCTTAGTTGATAGAGTGCTTGCCTCGCATGCACAAGGCCCTGGGTTCAATCCCCAGCACCACAAAAAAAAAAAAAGTGTAATGTTTATAAATAAAGGTTTATTAGAAAACAGCCAGGCTTGTCCAATTGTGTATTATTAGTCTGTGGCTGTTTGTCACAGTCTATAAATCCTAGCCTCCATTCCCATACTTCCTTCCACACAGACCAACTTTAGAGAAATGTGGAAGCCAGCACATTTCCTTTGGCTCTACTTCCGAACACCCTGTGTTAACTACTACCACTACCACCAGTCGCCACCATCCTTTTCACTACCATCACTACTGCCACAATCACTACCACAACCATCACCACCAAGATCACCTTGAAACTCCACTTATCTGTAGAAGACTTAGTTGAAGAAAGGAGGCAACTAATAACTAAAGATAATTAACATTGGTCATGTCTCAGAATAACTAAGAGAGTCACCAGTATATCTTATGGATCTAAGGGAGGCCAGAGATCTCTGCCAGGAACATCCCCTCTATTCAAGGTTGCTGGTGTGTCCTCAGCTCCACAAACTAGAAACTCTTTGTGGACTCTGATACTGTGGTGTAAATATACTCCAACAGTTATAGAATGTTGTTTTTTAGCATATAACCCAATGGGATGATCTCTTAAGTCTCTTTCAGAATGTAAGTACTCAGTTCAATTCTTATGTCAGGACCTTCTTCCTCTGGGTTCACTTTTTTCTTTTTTCTTCTTTTTGGTGCTGTGTATTAAACCCGGAGCTTTAGGCCTGCTAAGCAAGAACTCTACCACTGAAATATACCTCCAGCTCAAGTCATCTTTATAAGAAACTCCAAGATAAAACATTTATTTCTGATTTTAATACCAAGAAGAGTTGTCTTAGTCCATTTTCTGCTGCTATGACAGAATACCACAGACTGGGTGACAACCAACGCTACAAGTTCATTTGTCTTATGATTCTGGAGGTTAGGAAGTCCAACAGCACTGTGTGGAAATTTGTGCTTTGTCATAATCTGGCAAAAGGGCCAGCAAGCATGTATAAGCCAGGGAGAGGGTAAGAAGGAGATATACTAACCCACGCCCACAATAATGACATTAATCCATTCATGAAAGCAGAGGCTTCTTGATCCAATCTCTCATAGATTTTTTTTGACCTCAATATTATGATGGCAATTAAATTTCAATATAAGTTTTGGAGGGAACATTCTAAGATTTAAGAATCTGTCTTCATCTCACAGATAGGTGAATCATGCATGTAGCAAAGCAGATATTCCTTTTAACAGAGGCTGTTAAGCTGTTTGGAACCAGATAATATGGCCCAGCTCTGGTAAACGTTGAGTTCTTTAGGCTCTGAAGTTTTGAGCCCCATTCTGGCTTGACACTACTTTATTTTGCCTCAGTCTTAATTTCTGTCTTTGTTGTGGTTTGGATATGAGGTATCCCCCAAAACCTCCTGTGTTAATGCAGGAATGTATGGAAGTGAATTTGAATTGTGAGAATTGTAACCTAATTGTACTCATTTGAATGGACTGAGTGGTAACTGTAGGCTGTTGGGGCATAGCTGGAGAAGGTGGGTCACTAGAAACACTCCCTGAGAGGGCTGTTCTTTCCTGAGACCCCTTCTCCCGACTCTCTCTGCTTTGGAACTGCTGTGAGCTAAGCATCTCCCGCACCCCTACTGTGCTCTTCAACCATGATGTGCTGCTTCTATGGACTGAGACCTCTGAAACTATAAGCCCCAAATAAACTTTTCTTCCTCTAAGTTGTTCTTGTCTGGTATTTTGGTCACAGTGATGCAAAAGGTGATTAACAACAGTCTTGTTATGACCTATAAACTGGGGCTGGGGGTGTAGCTCAATGGTGAAAAGCTTGCTGAGTGTGCTTAAGGCCCTGTGTTTGATCCCCAGCACTAAATACATACTTACATTCGTACATATGAACATATATACACATATATATATAAACAAACAAAACCCTCTAGAAAAACCTTAAAACCTCTAGAGCAAGATGGAAATTAAATGGGTAGATGTCAAATAACCTTCCCACACATACATGTTTGATAGATTGTGTTAAAATGTGGGAGACCTCTGAATATTGAACATTGAAATTAAGGTTGTTGAATAATCTCCTGACAATAATTGCTGCACTGTTTCTGCAGTTTTAGCAATAGAAATATTCATCTAATCAACACAAATGTATTGAGTACCTCCTATGAGCTAGTCACTATTCTGACATTGGGCACTCAGCCATGAGAAAAAGCCAAAATTTTCTGTCCTTTAGGGTTGGGGATGTAGCTCATTGGTAGAGTATGTGCTTAGTATGTGTGAGGCTGCAGATGCGAAACCCAGCACCAGTAAAAGAATTCCTGCCCTCATTGAATTTGCATTCTACTGGCCTGATGAAATGCTCTCTGAAAAATGGAATTCATTTCTACCACTTAATAGCTGAATGTCTTCAGGGAAAATCACTTGCCCTCTCTGGGCTGCAGTTTCATCATCAGAAAATTGGGAATGAGGTTTAACTTACTATAAGAAAAGTAAGAAGATATGTAAACATCATTGCATGGTCTCTGTTGTTTGATTCTTGTGCTTATGGCCTTGTTTAACAAATAACTTTTTTGTGCCTAATGTTTTTTTGTTTTGTTTTTTGCACTGGGGATTGAACCCTGGGGTACTTAACCACTGAACCACATCCCCAGCCCTTTTTATTTTTCATTTTGATTCAGGGTCTCAACTAAATTGCTTAGGGACTTGATAAGTTGCTAAAGGTAGCTTTGAACTTGTGATCCTCCTGCCTCAGCCTCTGGTGCTGCTGGGATTATAGGACTGTGCCACCACACCTGACCTAATGATCTTATATTTTTTTAAAAAATTGGGATAATAATACTTAAAGAATTGTGAGATCACTAACAGGGTTAATAAATGTGAAAACTGACACATAGGAAGTCCCCAGTAAAAGTTAACTATTCTCAATTACACCAAAGTGCTCAGTCCTATGTCTCATGTCTCTGTCTTTCCTTCCTCTGAAAATATAACATACATTTATATAATCCTATAACTGGGACTATACAAGGTAAGAAAAGTGTGATAATTAAAATACATTCCAAGTTCTAGTCATGAAAGGCAGGATCAGAACAGCTGTGGCTGGTAGCATGGAGGGTGGGTAGAACCCTTCACACTGAGAAGCTTCTGAGACTGAGGCTCTCTGTTGAAATCATTCCTGTTACCAATGACAGCTTCACCACCCCACCCACTTTTGTTTGCCATGTGGTACTTAAGATTGAACCCAGGGATGCTCTGCACTGAGCCACATCCCCAGCCCTTTTTATTTTTATTTGAGATGGGGTCTTGCTAAGTTGCCAAGGCTCACCTCCAACTTGTGACTTTCTAGGACTACAGGAGTGTGCTACCATGCCCAGTTCAATTTGTCATCCTTTTGCACATCAGAAATGCCACTTGTGGTCTGGGGTTATGGCTCAGTAGTAGAGCACTCACCTAGCACATGCAAGGCCCTGGATTCGAGCCTCAGCACCACATAAAAATAAATAAATAAAACAAAGGTATTGTGTCCAACTACAACTAAAAATGTGAATATTAAAAAAAAAAAAAAACCGCTTGTAAGAAGTTGCAGCTTCCCTTATTAAGGGAGGATTTCAAATGCTGTCTTCAAGAGCACCTCCAATGTTTTCCAGTGTACTGTTTTACCAGATAAAGCATTAATATGCCCTTTTTTTTTGGGGGGGGGGGGGGGGGGGGAGTGTATGTGGTGCTGGAGATTGAACCCAGGGCCTTGTGCATGAGAAGCAAGCACTCTACCAACTGAGCTATATCCCCAACCCTTAGTATGCTCTTGAAGGAAAAAGGAACCATTTTCGTCTTTTCTCTAAGGCATTTTAAAAAGAGTGATGGATGCTTTTGGTGAACAAGGAGTACCAAAGAGCAGTAAATGAGAGGGAGCATCTTCACCTCTGAGGTTGGGATAAGAAAATTGAGCAGATGCTTTGCGGAACTGAGTACTGACCACAGACTCAGGTACAGAAAAATGTTATGTTCTATATTTTTAAATTTCATTTAAAAAAAAAATCTCAACCTAATTCCTATTTTTCAGTTATAGTTCCTTAGTCAGTAGTTAGTGTTTGTTGTTTTGTTTTGTTTTGTTACAGGGATTGAACTCAGGGGCACTCAACCACTGAGTCACATCCTCTGCTCTGTTTTGTATTTTATTTAAAGACAGGATCTCATTGAGTTGCTTAGCGCCTAGCTTTTGCTGAGGCTAGCTTTGAAGACATGATCCTCCTGCCTCGGCCTCCCAAGCTGCTGGGATCATAGGCATGTGCTACTGCACCCAGCCAGCCAGTTAGTGTTTTTTTGATTTGTGAGGAAGGTGTAGAGTATGCTAGCATTAGGTGAGGATTCATCCTTGCTGTTGTCTTTGGAGATTCTCCCCACCTTCACCCTGGGGAAGATATTGCCCTTTGGGCCCAGGATGGTTGCAGCTCCTTCCCTATGGGAGAAATCTGGCTGATCCTAGATCTTCCCTAGCATGGGACCACAAGGGCTGGGGCTGTCTTGGGCCTCTTCCCTGCTGTATGCTAGGGAACTCCACAAGCTCTTCCCTCCCCAGACTCCATCAGGAAGAAAGAGGAAAACCTTTTTGCCCTCAGACAATCATGACAAGCAGGTTGCTCTAACTGTTCCATCTCACTGGCCTCTACTGTAGCTTGAGACCTTTCTCAGATCTTTTTCTTGTTTTTCTTTTTCCTTCCTGTTTCCCCTCAATCTCTCCCACCACCACCCCAACCCCTAATCTATCTCTATCTCTCTTACTACAGAACATTTGTTCCTGCTTCCCAAAGGGAAATTCTGACCCAACCTAATTGAATAGTCTTCTAAATCCATTCTGAATGTTATAAGTCAAGACTCTAAAAAATAATCACCTTCCTATGAATCAATGGGACTCCTGGTATTTCTTTTATAACATTGGTGTCAATCCATTTCACTTATTCATATGCTGTTGGTATTTTAACTTTGAACAGTTAACTATTAGATCAATTAAGAATAAAGAGGGGCTGGGGCTGTAGATCAGTGGCAGAGTACTTGCCTGGCATGTGTGAGGCACTGGGTTCGATCCTTAGCACCACATAAAAAAATAAAGGCATGCTGTCCATCTACAACTAGAAAAAAAAAAAGAATAAGGAAAATAAGAATTTTATTTTACCTTTTTTTATTCCTGCTTGTTCATTCTTTCTTTATGTGGACCTGAGTTTTTATTTATATCATTTCCCATCTCCCTAAAGAACTTCTTTTGGTATTTTGCTGTTGTTGTTTCTGGGCTGGTGTGGCTCTTAAGTACTGTACAACTCTATAAATTTTTTTTCTGCTTTGTTCAAGATCATGGAACAACAAAATAACAAAATGTGTTCCAGTTATGTGCTGCCATTCCAGAAATGGCCACCAGATGTCGGTCCTCCCCCAATTTCAAATGTCTAAAGACATTGGTACAGTAAGGAGGACCTGCATTCTGGGGCTGCCAGCATTAATATGCCCTTTAATATGCCCATTAATATGCAGGTTTTGAGGTGCAACCTTACCCTGCATTCTGCTACATAGCTGCTCCTTAACAGCCCTCAGCCACAGTTCCTTCGCACACGGATAATGTGGTTTAAGTTTCTTGGTCTATCAACATTGCATAAAGAGAAGCTGTCTATTCTCCTTCTAAAACATCCAATGGTTCTTTAGGAAGGGAGAGCTGAATCAAAAAGATAGTATACTGGGACATTGAAGGTGAAGGCATCTTTAAAACAGGGTTAACCCAGAAAGTACAGATCAAAAATGAGGACAGGAAGGCTAATCCTGTAGTTCTGTGTCTGAAGACCAGGTAAGGACCAGGATGGTAGCCTTTCCTTGGGAGACTGAGTCCCTGAAATCATCATACCTTGAAGAAGATGAGAAATCCACTCCCAAATCATCCAGGGACACAAATGTGTTTGCCTCCAGAGCAAGTGATAGGTACAGCTGTTGGGGGAGGTAATTAAGGTATCATGGAAGAGCAATTTCTTCATGAAATTATTTAAATTCAAAACTTAAGATTATGCTGGCTTACATCTGAAAGCTACTTAGTTTTAAAATGTTTGGACCAGCATAACATCCAAACCTCTTACTATAGCTTTTGGGACCCTCCACAGCTATTCCCACTCTTCTTTTCTCACCTATCATGTACCCTACCCCAATCCCCCACTATATCCTTTGTCAGGGGCAGATGCCTTTTGTCCTAAAGTCTCTTCTCCCATTCCTCACTTCATTCAAGATCCACCTAAAATGTGGGCCCAATCTTTTCCTAGGTGTTGTGGGGACCTCCCAGGGTGGCACAAGCAGGACCACATATAGCAGCTTAATTCTAAGGGGGACCATTCTCATTGGAGTCTGTGAGGATAGTGCCCCTGGTGTTCCAAGGATTGTACAATGCTGCTGACAGGCATGCTAGGGTCTCTCCTCTCTGGGCTCACCTCTACCACCAGCCTCCAGACAGCATTCTTCCACCTTGCAGGGGCTCTGCAATCACAAGAAAGTTGATGAGGAAGTGGATTATGTTCAGGTTGGTGGTACTATGGCGTCTCAAGTGTCCCTTTGTTTCAAATGACCCTGGATCTCCTGAGCCCAGTAGAGGCAGGTTTTGAGGTGCAACCTTACCCTGCATTCTGCTACATAGCTGCTCCTTAACAGCCCTCAGCCACAATTCCTTCGCACACGGATAATGTGGATT